CGGCTAATTTTTGATCTATTGTAGAGATGAGGTCTCGCTGCCCAGGCGGGTCTCGAACCCACAGGCTCAGGCAATCCACTCACCTCAGCATCCCAAAGGCACGGGATGACAGCCTGAGCCACTGAGCCCGGCAGGCTCTTAATGTCACCATCCCATCCACCAGCCAACTGGAGCTGGCCCCCGCGCTCTGGAAGCCATTCCCTGATACTACTTTATTGTGGTTGTGTTTTCCCTGAGGAAAGCACCTGAAGTGTGGCTCCTGCCAAGAGCGAGGAAGGTGCAGGGAACACCGGGGCGGTGTTTGCTGGCCGAGGTGGGTGGGACAGACAGGAAATCGCCCGCAGGCACTGCTGCCATCTCTTCTGGGCAGTGGGGGCTAATGGAGACCTGAGCCCTGGCTGGGGGGGTCACCCCACGGGGCCAAGCAGCATCCTCTGGGTGCCAGCAAAGCCTCTAGGGGCCACCTGGGTCCAATCAGGAGAGAAGTGCTGTGGCTTTCGCCAGGGAAGGGTGGAAGTGCAACTCTGAGGTGTGACTCCAGGTGGCACCCAGGACCCAGTGCAGCACTGGAGGAGGGACAGACGTGGATGGGTGCAGACCTTGGGGAAGGCGGGGTTACCCCATTGGACAGCAGGGATGGTGGTGGCTGGCCCAGGCAGAGCTGGTGGCCACTGGCCCAGGCAGGGGGCAGGCAGCCAGCACCCGCGCTGCAGACACATGGGATCACTGCCAGCCAGGAGGCCTTCAAGCACGGGGTCCCTGCCTGGGGACTCTGGCTTCCCTGTTGGAGAGCTGTGGAAAGGTGACAGCTAGGCTGAGGCTGTGAGTTCACAGAACAACCTTGTTCTGGTGCGTGGCTGGGTGGGACTCCTCGGAATGTCCTCAGCTCACAGCAAGGCCAGACCAGGGCAGGAAAGCCACGGGAAACCTTCTTCTTCCCTGGTGTCCCTCCGACAGGGACCCAGGTGGCCCCTAGAGGCTTTGCTGGCACCCAGAGGATGCTGCTTGGCCCCGTGGGGTGACCCCCCCCTAGCCAGGGCTTAGGTCTCCATTAGCCCCCACTGCCCAGAAGAGATGGCAGCAGTGCCTGTGGGCGAGCTCCTGTCTGTCCCACCCACCTCGGCCAGCAAACACCACCCGGTGCTCCCTGCACCTTCCTCGCTCTTGGCAGGAGCCACACTTCAGGTGCTTTCCTCAGGGCAAACACAACCACAATAAAGCAGTGTCAGGGAATGGCTTCCATATCACGCTTGCTTTAATGCAGAAATGCCTAATTTTTCAGACTGCCGTGTACCTGGGAGGGTGCATTGGGCCCTGAGGGACAATGCCTCCTGACCACGGGATGGAGGGGATCACATCTACCACGGCCTTGGAAGACATGGGTTCAAGTCCCAGCCCCATAGCTTACTAGCTGTGTAACTTGGGCAAGTCACTTAACCTCTCTGAGCCTTGCTTTTCTCATTTGCAAAAGATCATGATGTTTATGTTCAGGACTGTTGTGTGAAGTAGAGCTAGAACACCGAGCACCTGGCACAGACCCTGGGTCCTGCAACCTGTAGGAAGAAGAAGAGGCGCTTCCCTACCTCCACAGATCCTTAGGTGGGGACAAGGAGGGTCGGGGAGTCAAACACGTTTCCCAGGGCACCCCAGGAGCCATCTGGATTGTCCAGGAGACTCTGGCTCCCAGCTCAGCCTGGAGTGAATCCACATCACTCCTTAGCGAAGAGAACCTGGTTGTGCCTTCTTTCTGCAACACCCAGCCCAGCCTGCACCTAACAGGTTCCCAGTGGCACTGCCTGCGTGGATGGGTGAACTGAATGACTCTGTGGACTGAAGATCTGGCCTGAGACAGGCCCCTGCCCCTGGAGCAGGGCGTCCATCAGGAGGGGCCCAATTGGCTGCACATGGGGGCGGGGGGGCTTCA